TTTTATAACTGGGGGTGTATCCCAGTCACTTAGGGCTTTTCCAGTGGAAATTGACCATAGCTCCCGTGGTAATTGACGGATATCTTGAGGGAGAAACTTTAAGACCAGCACATCCTGTTTCTCCTGAAACTTGTGCCCGTGGTTTGAGCATGCATCGGTGGATCTCGTCTGCAGCATTTATTATGTGTTCCATGACTCTTTTCTTCTTACACACTTATCATCCCATAAAGAGGAGGTAAGTATGGAGTCACGGAGACACACACACACACACACACTCTCTCTCTCTCTCTCTCTCTCTCTCTCTCTCTCTCCTGTGGATTAAAATGTAATACTAGTATTGTATAAAGTCACTGTGATCATGAAAGAATGTTGAAAAAACTCAGACTGAGTGCAGCTTCAGGACATGAAAGACAAAGAGGAACTGTTAAAATTAAAGATAAGAAAAAACTGAAGATTAAGAAGAACTAACCAAGGCATCTGGGCGGAAGGTGGTGTCCTGCCTTCATGAGGCTTTTAACAGGGTTCTAGAACTAGTGGAAAATGAAATGTATTTCTTATCAAGTACGTGTGCAGTTAGTAATACTGTGCCAGGTTTTGCTTTGTTTTGTTTTTTGTGTTTTTTTGTGGGGGTGGGGATACTACTAGGAACTATTGTTTTGTATATGTTGCTAAGGATCAAATCCACATGGTACACAAGAACTCTGCCACTGAGCTACAGCCCCAGCCCTTTTTTAAATTTATTTTTTAATTTTGACACAAGGGATTGCTAGGTTGCCCCAACTGGCTTTGAATTTGGGATCCTTCTGTCTTGGTCTCCCAAGTGGCTGRGATTCCAGGAGTACTCCACCATGAGCCGCCCACCGTACTGGCACATGGCACCAGCTTTAATTTCCTGTAGATGATTACATTTGGTCATATGGGAAAGTAGATAGAACATGTAAGGGATAAGGGAGCTGATACTAATTTTTATAACTTTTCTGTCTAAAAAGTTTTAAAAGTCAATTTAAAGACTTAATGTTTAGTACACTGGTAAATATTTTAAAATAAACTTAAAACCATTTTCTATTTATTTTGCATCTGGACCTGTAATAAGGGTTTGGTTTTTTTTTTTTTTTTTAGTTTTCTATATTGGAGAATATCTGGGAGGATCTTTGACTTTGTATCTTGATAGCAAGGAAACTGGATTCTGTGTATCCTGTGTTCACATATCAATATATTATTTTTAACTTGGCTTAATTACTCTGACATTGTTCTGATAGGTATACCTTATAAGAGATTAAACTTTATATTTAAAAAAAAAATTTGGTAGCTGTACCTGGACAGCATGCTTTATTTGTTTCATTTTTATGTGGTGCTAAGGCTTGAACTCAGTGCCTCACACATGCTAGGTGAGTGTTCTGCCCTTGAACTACAGTCCCTGCCCCACAATTTAGTTTTACTTAGGGTGAAAWTTTTTTTTTTCATTTACTGACAGTAAAGAAGTTGATTTTTCATTGACATTTTCATGGAGATCCTTGTAGACCCACCTGTAACTGTTAGGAGCAGTGTGGAGATGCCCTGTTCTCATGTCCAGGCCMCGGGTGGGTCAGCTTGCAGAGCTGCAGTGTGATGTCACAACCAGAACATTGGCATTGTTGCAGCACACAGACCTCTCTCGGATTTCCCTAGTTGTACTCACTTGTGCWTTTGATTTTTCATACATCAGGTTTTACACTTAGGAAGCTGCTGAAATGCTGGCTTTAGTTTAGTCTCTGGTCTCCAAAGTACCATTTAACATCTGTGCCTCTCACTTGTCATCTGATTCAGTCAGATAATTTGATATGATGTTTAGAATCACTTTTTTTTTTCAGTTGTAGATGGACACAATACTTTTATTTTATTTATTTTTATGTGGTGCTAAGGATTGAACCCAGTACCTCAGACATGCAAGGCAAGTGCTCTGCCACTGAGCCACAATCCCAGCCCTACCCTAGAATCTTTTTTGGGTGAAAATATTCTATGATCATTGTATGAGAGTGTTTTCTCCTTTTAAATTATAACCTCCTTTTCTCTCTTTTTGGATTCAGGAAGAAAAGGCTTCTCTTTTACATCGCACTCAGGAAGAAAGAAGGAAAAGAGAGGTAATGGTAGCTTGGTGATGTTCTTCACAGATGGGTGTTTTCCTGCAGCATTTGAAGTAGCCTGTGTATGTTGCATCTGTTGTAGATTGGGGGACTTAGTATAACACTTTTGGGTGTGTTGGACTTTGAAGTACAACGTTTATTCTGGAACCACTGTAGGAAAAGATGGGCCAAAAAGGCCTCCAAGTCCAGGGGCTGGGGTTGTAGCTCAGTGGTGGAGTGCTTGCCTAATATGTGTGAGGCACTGGATTCGATCCTCAGCACCACATAAAAATAAATAAGTAAAATAAAGGCATTGTGTCTATCTATAACAAGGCCAAGTCCGCTGGAAATGGAATGTGGGATTTTAATTGGCTTTGTTGCTTATGGGAAGGTTTCCAGAAGATCTAGGAAAAAGTTAGTGTACAGTGCTGAGTTTCTTCAAGTTAAGGGAGAAAAACTCATCCTTAAGCTTGTATCTTAGCTACTTATGAAGAGGGTAAAACCAGAAAGCAGCTGATGGTATATCTTGCATCTTTCTGAAGATAATTTCCTAAAATACTGCTGGTTAATCAGCAGCTGTGGTATCTTAGGACCTACTTCTCTAAGTAGTTTCTTGTTATTTTAGCAACTTGTTTGAGCATCTCACAGACATTTATCAAGAGCAAGTTGTGTCAGGTACTACTCTTCTTATTGGGGTGTACAGGTGGTAGGTGAGACAGGCTCCTGCTCCAGKGGATATTAGCAGGCACTGGCCAAGACAGCAGGTAGTACTTAGCTGCAAGGTGGTATATCACAGCTAGTAATTGGGGACCTGTGGGAGACAGGAGCTTAGGGGAAGGGCTCTCTGAGGAGTGTGGAGAGGGTAGAACCTGAGGATGAAGCAGCAGCTGCCTTTGGGAAGCTAGAGGGAGAACATTGAACATTCCCACTTAAAGCAACAGCAGTRCAGAGGTTTTGACTCATATCGCTGTTGGTTTTGATCAGATGTCGATTGTGGTGGGGACTTTCCTGTGCATTGAAGGATATCTGGCCTTGACCCACCAGATGCCAGCAGCACTTCCTCCCCAAAATTGGAACAACCAAAAAAAATGTCTCCAAAAATATCAGGTGTCTCTAGTAGTTCAGAATCCCTGCTCGACCCAAAAAGTCATCTGTTTGTTGGTGGCATTCTCCATCTGCCTGGGGAGATGCCCCACCATTATTTCTTCTGTCAATACTTGATCCCATTCTTACTCTTCTCCTTCTTGGGCGCAGGCTGGAAACAGGATCCATCTTTGTGTATGTTTCCTATATGCTCTTCTGTATGTTTATTCTTGCACACATCTGTTCTTCATTTTGGATATTTTCTTCTGACCTAACTTCTGATTCACAAATTATCTCTTTCACAGTGTCTAATTGTTAAATTTATCATTAAATTCTTAATTTCACTTTTCAGTTCTAGATTTTTTAAATTCTTTTATATATTCTCCAACTCTTATCATTTGTTGTTCTTGAACATAGTTTAGATTTTTAACCAGTTGATTTAGAGCAGGGGGCAATGCTAGGGTCAAACCCATGGCCTTGTACATGGTAGGCAAGCACTCTACCACTGAGCAACACATCCCAGCCTAGGTTTTTATCATCATCATCTTAATTGTAAATGGACACAGGACCTTTATTTTGTTTATTTATTTTTATGTGGTGTTGAGAATCAAACCCACTGCCTCACACATGCTAGGCAAGCATTTAATCCCTGAGCTATAGCCCCAGCCTCCCAGCCTAGGTTTTTAATGTTTAAATTATCATAATTGAACATCTGTGGGTATAGAGAACATTATTTTTGCTTTTGGCTGAGAGTAAGGAGAGGGACACAGTCACCTTTAACTAATGCAGACTGGGACTGGGAGCTGCCTGTCAGGCGCCTGAGATGCAGGCCTTTGGCCCCAGCAGGACTCTGGTGTTGGAGTCCCAGGAGTGGCTGAGCGCTGGGGTCTGCAGGTGTGAAGGCCATAGGGTCGCGCCTGGGTTTGAGCTCTGGCTCCTCAGGGTCTGTGCTGCTCATCCTCATGGCAGTGTCAGATTCTGCAGCTGTATAGCAGGAGCAGTGCTCACCTGTAGGTTATCCTGAGAAGGGATGTGAAGGTCCTTTCGTGGTGCTGGTGCATAGTGGGCACCCTGAATGTGTAYCCAAGAGAGATGAAACCTTGTGTCCACAAGAAACCTGGAATGAATGTTCATAGCAGCAGTCTTCTTAATTGCCTTAAGTGGAAATAGCCTGAATGCCCCTCCACACATAAAGGGGTACACAAAAAGTGTGATGTCCATGCAATGGAATATTACTTGTCCATAAAAAGGAATGAAGTACTGACACATGGTTCAGTGTTYATGAACTGTACAAAAAGGCAGACCCAAGCAGCAAGTGTTGTATGGCTCCATGATGCAAAGTGCATGGGACAGGAGACTCCAGCGAGGCAGGAAATGTGTTGTGTCCGTGGGTGGCAGCCAGGAATGAGGCAGGGTTGTTGCTGCACAGGGTTTCTTGGGAGGTGAGTTGTTCTAAGGTTAGTGGGATGGCCGCATGGTTCTGAATAATCTAGAAGTGTGTGCAGTGTTGGTGACTGTAAAGAATGGGTGTTGTGGGGGGCTGGGGCTGGGACTCAGTGGTAGAGTGCTTGCCTAGCACGTGTGAGGCACCAAGTTCGATTCTCAGCACTGCATAGAATAAAGTGAAGGTCCATTGACAACTAAAAATATTTGGGAAAAAAAAAAAGGATGAATGTTACAGTGTGAATTACATGGCTTTTATTTTTTAAAACTGTTTTCTAGTTAATGTGATTCACTGATTCTGACCAATTGTTCTTTTCTTCCTCCATTATTCAGGAAGAAAGGCGAAGATTAAAAAATGCAATAATTATTCAGTCATTTATTCGAGGCTACAGAGACAGAAAACAGCAAGTAAGTTTATTTCTAAAACACAAATATTAAAAGGATCTGCAAGAGCTTATTTTAAATATGGCCTTATTATAAGTATCATTTTTATGTATTTTTTTCTACCTGAAAGTTAACGTTAATGGTAGTAGTATTTTTTCTTAATAAATAGTTGTATTAGTTATATTTATACAAAGATTTATAGACAAGTGAATTTTTAGGTGATTTTTAAGTAGTAAAATACAAACCACAACTAATAATCACAATAGAATAAAGGTACTTGTAGTGGGCATCCAGGGTGCTTTGTCGCACCTTTTACRCAGCCTTCTGACAGCGACTCGGTCGTCTGTGGGTTTCCACCAACCCGTGAGCACATCTGCCTCGGTGTGGAGAGTTCTGCTTCTGAATTCATGCTTATGTGTTGCTCCTTCCTTTCAGTATTCCCTCCAGAGAAGTGCGTTCGATCGCTGCGCACACTCGGCACAGTCTGGTGGCACTTTCTCCATCATTAGTGCCCCCAATCTTACCCTCCTGGTAAGGCAGCTTCTGTTTTTTTACAAACAAAGCGAAGATGCAAAACGATTGGTGAGTGTTTGCTATATTTTCACTTGTCTTGGTGTATGTATTTTGGGGCTTTGTGTTTTTTGTGTTTTTTTTTTTTTTTTTTTTTTTCCTTAACATGTACATGGTGAGTATCTGATCAAGAATCAGGTCTTGTCAGGATCTGGTGACTCAGGCCTGGAATCCTAGCAACTTAGGAGGCTGGAGCAGGAGGACCTCAAGTTCAAAGCCAGCTCAGCAACTTAGCAGGACCCTGTACTTAAGTAAATAAATAAATTAAAAGGCCTGAAAATGTGGCTCAGTGGTAAAGTGCCCCTGAGTTCAATCCCTGTACTACAAAAAAAAAAAAGGTAGAACTAGCCAGATCCCCTCCAGGGTACCTGAGCCCTCATGGACTTTCCTCAGCCAATTCTAGTAGGTCACCTGTGGTGATGTATTTTACTTCTTAAAATCTAGTATACATCTTAATAGGCTTCTCATTTTTTTTTTTTTTTGTTATAGAAAATTTCAAATATTAAAAAAAGTATAGGGGCTGGGGTTGTGGCTCAGCRGTACAGTGCTCGCCTAGCATGTGCAAGGCCCTCAGTTCAATCCTCAGCACCATATATAAATAAATAAAATAAAGGTATTGTGTCCAACTACAATTTAAAAAAATTTTTTTTWAAAAGTATATCATGTGGACTCCCTCCAATGTGCCCCACCTACTGCACAGTCAGCAGCAAGCTCTTCAGATACAGCCCTCCACACCTCTGCCTCAGCTCACTATGACCATCTCTCTATCACATCATGTTCATCTGTATTTACAGTAGCAACCTCCAGAATATATGGTCTCTAATTTATTTACCCAGGGCCTCCCCCATCCAGGCAAGCCCTGTGCCACTGAGCTACACCCTCAGCCCTGGACTCTCTTTTTTTAAAACATCTGAAACACAAATGTATTTCTCTAAAAAATTTTATGGGCTTTTGCTATGGTTAGGAGAACCAGTGTGCATTAATTGTGGAAAATACATATAAATCCATTGATGAATAATCTTTTAAAAAGGGGGGAGCGGATTTTAATCATTCATTTTCTAGCACATATAGACATTTGTATATGATTATGAAGTCAAGTGTATGTTTACGCTTAGAGATTATTATTTGTCTGTGCCATGCAGGGTGGTGCGCAACTGTAATGTGTGCACCTTGGCAACTTAGGAGGCTGAACAGGAGGATCGCAAGTTCAAAGCTAGCCTCGCCAGTTTAGTGAGACCTTGCTCAGTGGCTGAGCACCCCTAGGTTCAATCCCTGGTACCAACCAACAAACAAATTATTATCTGTCTATAATAGAAATTCCAAGTTATATTAAAAGGTGGGTCCGCAGTGTACAGAAAAAACATTTTCTGCACTACAAACCGTGCATGCTAGAAAGATCCTCATGTGAAATAAACATAGACGACTACAGAGGTCTTGGATAGAGCTTGGCCTGAAGCCCACCTGAGCTGCCTGAGCTGAGCAGGTGAGACTSGGCATGGAAAGAGCTCTCTGTGACAAGAGCCCATCTGCAGCAGCCCATCCGCAGTTCATTCGCCTTAGATGTTGCTAATAGCAAGCTTTTTAAAGGCTTCCTTCCTGTCTGCAGTTTGCTATGTGTGACTTGAGTGTCTCTCCAGAGCACTATTTCTTTGTGTGTGTAAGATCTAGTCTGCAGTCCCCATGTGGTTTCTAAATGTGAGCCTGCATAGACGTGCAGCCAGAGAAAACTTGGAAGTAAATGTGCACCTTAGCACCAGGCTTCAGGCACGTATGCACAAACCTGTAGCTCATATGCAGATCCTGTAATGCTGAGTGCAGTGTCACCAAACCTGGTTCATACAGTAAAAGTAAACTTGAGTGTTTTCTATTTAATTTGCTAACAAACACACAAGAGCTTCCATCAGGAAAACATCCCCTGTCCCTTTTAGTTCCCTAATTCCCACTCCTAAGATCAAGTGTGGGGCCTTCTATGATAGTTTTTCAAAGCTACTTGATGCAAAAAAGTAAACAGGCTCCCCATTCTCACCTCCTCTCTTAATTTATTTTTTTAGAATCATGACTTAAAATAGTTCTGTTGAGTTAGTGTGCTGTAATTATGCATTTTTTGGTGTACAGTTCACCTGCTTCTCAGTTGCTTGGTTCTGATTCCCTTGGTCCAGCCTTTCTCCACCTCCAGAAGTTGCGTGCTGTGTTCCTGGTGTGCGTCTCCAGGACACCAGCACTGGGCCTGTCGTGTGCTCTGCCTGCCCCGGTGCTTTTCCAGGCCTGACATCATYCTGGGAAAGCCTTTGCTTTGCCTCCGTTTTGTACCATCTTTTCCTGGCTCCTCCACATCTTCGGGCCTCCTTTGTTCACTTCTTTAGAGCCTTACAATGGAGAGCCTTAGTTGAGTAGCTGGGGACATAGCCCATTGGTAGTGTTGCCCCGAATGCAAGGCCCTGAGTTTAACCCCCAGTGTGTGCGCACATAAAGAGAGCCTCAGTTGACCCTTGAGATAGCATGCGGAGGAGACGGTTTTTAAAACTTTGCCCATTTGCCTTTACTACATGAAAACAACAAAATGTCAAACAACTCAGTTTGCCATGGTGTGACTTTCTGGATAATAACAGTATGTCTGTCAAGATGGTGAAATTCAAACAAAACTTTTCTAGAAAGTGGTCAATTGTAGTGTAGTATAGTATCACTATTGCTTTGGGGGTTTTTTCTTTCTTTCTTTTTTAGTTGTCAATGGACATTTTTTCATTTTTATATGTGGTGCATGAGAATTGAACCCAGTGCCTCACACATGGCTAGGCAAATGCTCTACCACTGAGCCATGACCCCAGCCCCACTTTGGGTTTTTGTTGTTGTTGTTGTTGTTGTTGTTGTTGTTTTACCCCCTCAATGTCAGACATGACTAGCTGATTAACCGATGAGGTACCTGATTCCTACAGTTTCTATGATTGTCCATCTGTCATTTTTATGATGTTATACTTTCTGTATATCTTTTTTAAAATATTTTTTTAGTTGTAGATGGACAGTATCTTTATTTATTTTTATGTGGTGCTGATGATCGAACCCAGGGCCTCATGCATGTGAGCACTCCACTCAGCTACTACCCCAGCCTCTTGCTGTATATCTTATTTTAACTTGTTGCTAGGTATTGCAAAATTTAAGATGAACTATGTGGGGATATGTGGGAGGTATTTGGATCTTGTTGGTGCTTCAGGGTTATACATGTGTAGTCAACTCACACAGATGCAGAGCAGGTCAGTTATTTCCCTCCAACTTAGGACAGGCTCTAATTTGTTTTACRTAGTGTTCTTCTGTTATTTATAGTGTCTAATTGCATTTTATTTCAAAGAAACATTAACGTGAAAGTAGAAACTATTTGTGACACATTCATAACTAGCCATATTTAGGAAGCCATCTTTTAATTCTAGCTGGTTGTAAATGGATCTTAGGAATAGAAAAAATAGAATAGCTCACTTCACAAGAGTATCATAGAGGAAGTAGAGGGGATTCCTTCCTAAGTGTTGCGCTTTCAGATCACTTATAGCAGCTTTGTGCAAACTGGGTGCAAGGGACAGAATCCAGTTCCCCTGCTGAACTAATCCACCAGTCACATTCCGTTCCTATCATATACCTGTTCTTTTGTTGGGAAGCATGGAGCCGTATGCTTGTCTTCTGCTAAGGAAYAGAAGCATTCAGAAGAACCAGGGTGCTGAGGCAACTGCACATGCACACATGCAGGTGTGTGCCAAAGGAAAGAGGTAAAAAAGACAGATGTGTGGCTGGGGTCATGGCTCAGCAGTAGTGAACTTGCTTAGCACTCGGTTCAATTCTCAGCACCACATAAAAATAAATAAAATAAAGGTCTATCAACAACTAAAAAAATATTTGAAAAGAAAAGAAACAACTGTCTCTTGTAACTTCAGGGTCTGCTGTATTTCTCTTGTATTTCTATGATGCTTGCTGATTTTTGCAAATGAACTGATTTGACATGGACATGAGCTTTAAGTGCACTTTTTTAAAGTAACATTTTTATTAATTTAGCCTTACCATGATGTATTATTTAAAGGTGGAAAGTGCAAGTACCAAAAGCAAAGCCAGACTCAGGAACCTTACTTATCAGGTTTTGATTAGGTCTAAGTGTGTATTGCTACTATGTAAATTGGCAAACATTTAAATTTTATGGATTGAGAATTATGTTTTGTGTATTTTATTATTCTAGATATGGCTGTATCAGAACTTAATTAAACACAGCTCCCTGTTTGTCAAGCAACTGGACGGATCTGAGAGACCGACATGCTTATTTCAGATAAAGAGGCTCATGAGCCTCTGTTGCAGGTAAACTGTCCCTTTCAGCAACCTGACCAGCGCTGGGCACCGTAAATTTGATTTTCATTTTCTAAGACAGTGGCTTTTCCATGTTTTTGTTTTATTTTGGATGGAAGGACTTTGGAATAGTCTATGTATTGCTCTAGGTAATTCTGGCCTGTAAGACTTAGAAGTTAAAACACAGATACAACTATCTTCCAGATAGTATTTCTTGCAAAGATTCCCTGGGATTATCTTGTGAAGTGCTAAGCCTTTGAGTTGCCAGTGAATGGACTGGCCAACTCAGAGGATTCCTGGTGGGAGGTGATTCCTTTCTGTAAGGGTTTCTACCACATTCAGTTTGGAAGCCACCTCTTGAGAAATGGGCTTCATCAGGCTCTCTGTCATTTATGAATGAACTCAGTAGGTTTGGGGATTACCAGACAAAGGTGTGGACTTGCCTTTTATCTTTGAAGAGCTGAAAAATGAGAAAGAAGTAGAACTACTGATTTATGAGATCACTCGTCTCCTTGCCTATAAAAGTGAGTGACTTATGGGTTGAGTGTATGGCTCAGTGGTAGCATGTGCTCAGTGGGCACAGGCCCTGGGCTGGACCCCAGGGTCAGTACAGTGCTGAAGGTCAGAGGACCTCGACTTGGTACTGCCCTATGACTGTCTTGCTTGGCATTGGAGTCACTGGATCCACTGTTAGTTGTAAACTGACGAGGTGGGGGGTGGGGCCTGCCTCCTGGGATTTCCGTCTCCACTGCATGGCCAGATGATGGGAGTGCTCTCTTGGTGGCCCGTTCTTGGTCTCCTCCAGCCTCAGAAGATACTTCACACACTCATGTTCCAGATGTCACCATGGGCTGTTAGTATCTCTAGATTGGCAKCTTGTACAAATTCTAAAAATTCAGGTTTTCTGTGTCAATTTCATGTGATACTACATTCAGCTTGTAAGTAGCTACTCATCCACTTAAATTAGTAAATTTATTTTCAAAATAAAAATTAATTTTTCAAAGCTAATGAATATTTACCTTATTTACATTTCTTTTTACATCAGTCTCTACTGGGAACAACATTAGGATTGGCTGTCAGTCCTGTATTAAAAATAATTTAGTAGGGCATGGTGGCACATGCATGTTAGCACTGCAGTTTGGGAGGCTGAAGAAGGAGGATTGCAAGTTCAAGGCCAGCCTCAGCAAYTTAGACCCTTAGCCACTTAGTGAGATCCTGCCTCAAATAAGAAAATGGGGGACTGGGGATGTGGCTCAGTGGTTAAGTGMCCTGGTTTATTCCCTGGTGCCCAAAAAAAGGACTGATGGAGTTTCTGCAAAGTGGCAAGCAGGGTTTTTAGCACTGAAGGTCCAGCTGTGGCAAACTGGGGGTTCTTGCTCTTCTTGGTTTTATCTAATCTATAAATAAGTAAAATAGAGGTGTTTTATATAAAAAGATAAATGAGTTTGTGGGAGGCTAAGGAGGAGGAGAGGAGCTGTGAACTTTGGGGTGGCCTTTCTGGACGGTCTGGTAGAAAGGTGCCTTGGAGGCCACGGTGGCTGGGGCCGTGCATGTCCCTGCTCTGGGGCGGGAGCCAGCACAGAGCCTGCGGGTCTCGGGTGTTCTGGAGGACGTGGGCTGTATGCTGGAGCACAGAGGAGCCGGGAGCTTGAGCAAGATGAGGTAACTCATTCTGCATCCTTGAAGGTTTTTATTAGGGTAAAGAATGGCATACCAAGCACTCCCAGTGCTKCCTTGCCGACACTCCTGCAGACCACAGTGTCGTGATTGACAGGTGGAAGTGATGCTAGAGGCCAGGAGTCTGGTCTGGCARTTCTGGCAGTCCCACGCCTCCACCCAGGATGGGCACCCAGCCTGTTGGGTCACCATCACAATGTGCTTTCCCTCTCTTTTAAAAATAATCTAGGTGACCACACAGTACCTGCGTTGTCTCCTGAACGCCCCCTCCCCAGCCTCCAGTGTGCTTCGCCAGAAACTCCGCTGTTGTTGGAGTGAGTGCAGCAGAGGGAGGGCACAGGCAGACCACCAGGAGGYGACTGCCAAGGGTGACCCAGCCCGGTGCTGCCAGAACAGACTAGGGCTCAGTTAAGTAGAGCCTCGGTGGATGCAAGGCCTCCGTTTCAGCAACTAGAAGGCTGTGATGGTTTTGAAGGTGGGGAGTTATAAAACTGCACAGGACTGAGTGGACCGTTTAGAAGAGAAAAAGAGGCCTCTGAGCACGCCCCACCATAGGATGCTTGAGAGGAGGGGGACCCAGCCAGGTAGGAGGCTGCTGGTCAGAGTTGATGGCTGAGCCTAGACTGTCAGGTGATACCAGTTTCCCCAAGAAGAAATCAGATTCTCCAATGAATGTGTCCTTCCTCGGTGAGGGGACCAGTGACATTGCAGCTGATGGAACGAGCATTCATCTCAGGGGCATTTCTATCTCTATCTGACCGAGGCCTTTGCTGTGTATAGCTCTGAGGCATGGGCTCAACTCTGTTTCCTGTTGAGTCCGCTTCTGTCTTGGGGTTGAGGAGCACCCTGGGATGAGCTGGGCAGGACGCCCTGTGGCTTGCTTTTGGCCTGCAGTCTTCGCCTCCCCTCGTAGTGCCGCTGGCCTGGAGAGCAGTGAAGGGCTGGGGTGGGGCTGGTGCGGGGAGGCGGTGGAGTTAGTAAGGCTGTGCAGGGTCCAGTGTGCAGTTCATAGAGAGCAATAGCATCGGCAGCGTGTTTGTTGAGGAGGGAACCTTGACGGTACAGAGGGAAAGATGCTGGGACAGTGCCTCTGAGCGGGAGAGGACAGGGCATGGCTCCACAGTCGCAGAGTGTGGCTTTGGAAAGGGGAAAAAGACAGTTTACCTTATTGTCAAGAGGCAGACTAACCCAATTTTAAAAACAGCAAGATGCAAACAGACACTTGGCTAATATGCACATGAAAATGTCTTGATCGGTGGTCAGGGTGGTAGGTCTCAGTGACGTACAGCTGCACACGAGGACGGCCTGCAGTACCAGGGGTTCAGATGCAGAGCAGTGGGGACCTGTCTTGCATCTGTAGAGGTTCAGTGGTTTCTTTCAAAGTTAAGTGTATAGCCTCTCTGAGCCCTGGATTACCAAGAGAGTGAGGCCCAGTCCCTCGGGTGTGCCCGAGTGTTAACAGCAGCTTCCCTCAGGAGACAGGTGTCCATCCTGTGAGTGTCCTCCACCATGCTCTTCCCATCAGTAGRCCAGTGCGTGGCGGGTGCAAAGACCAGCTCAATGGGAGGTGCGGCTCTTTCCATGGGGAATAGCAGGAAGTGCAGCCTCATTTGTAGCCACAGAGAAAAGCTGGAGGGAGGGTGTTCTGGAGGCACTGAAAGCACCTTTTGGAGACTGTGTGTGCAGTCTGTCCAATGCAAGGTCCGGCCCCTTAGATGGATGCAGAGTAGTGTGGATAAATCATGTCTCCATAAAGTTGTGTTTTTTTTTTTTTTTTAAGGCATTAAATCTTTTTTCAAATAAGACTCATTTTTGTGACAGCAGAACTTGTCCTTCTGCCTATAACTCTTCTCCTCATAAGAGGGAAGGTAGGGGTAGGTGGCACAGGGCCAGAAAGTGCTCTCTGGGCCACAGCGGTCCCACAGGCATCTTTGCAGGAGAAGCCGTGCTCTCAGAAAGAGGCCCTCCCCCAGTCTCAGGAGACAGCTCCTGTTGGCCCAGTCAGTGGATCGTGATGCTTCTCCTCCTGTGTTGCATTCTGTCCACTTGCTCTCATCTGAACAAGAGTATGGCRAGTTGGAGGTCAGCCTGGGCAACTTAGCCAGACCCTTTCTCAAAAACCTCAATATGTTGGGGTGTGGCTCAGTAGTAACGTGCTCCAGTTTCARTCCCCAGCACCAAAAACAAAGTCTGAATGTTTGCTTACTTTTTGTCTGAGTCTTGCTGTCTTCAGAGATCTCTGGCACTCAACAGAGTGTCCCAGCTGCTCACTCACAGCCAGTAGGAGGAATTGGGGAGAACTTTGGTGACATTAGCCACCCCGTAAGTATGTGAATGCTTTTTCATTTTTACAGGTTGCTGCAGAGCTGTAATGATGACAGTTTGAATGTTGCACTTCCAATGCGAATGCTTGAGGTCTTTTCCTCTGAGAATACTTACTTGCCTGTTTTACAAGATGCTAGCTATGTGGTGTCCGTAATTGAACAGATCTTGCACTACATGATCCACAATGGTAAGCAGCGGGGTCAGGCCTGTGGGTGGTGTACAAGACCTGCCTGCTTCTCGGGGCACGTGCTTTTGCAGGAGGGCTGCAGCCGCCGCCAGCACCCGTGCTCAGCCCCACTCTGAAAATATGGGGCCATGCTGACTCTCTGTGCTGACATTTTTTGGCTTAGAAATGAGGAAGGGCAGCATCTGCTTTCAGAAATTGCCCCAGGCCCCTGAATCCAGGGTCTGTGTCCTCACTGGGAGCCGCTATTCCTCAGACCTGAGCAGGCGCCCTGTTGCTCCCCTCATCCTGAGCGGTGGGAGCCCAGGGCAGGTGGCTGAGGGCCTGCAGCGCTGAGGAGATGGCCTGCCCAGGCTGTCCTTGTCAGGGGATGCTGCGCTCTCACACGGCTGGTAGAAGGGAGTGGGGCAGTTCRTCTGAATTTTCTCTGACTCGGTGTTAACACTGATAACTGTTCTTCAAGTGYATTACATAAAGTAGAATGACTATCTATGAAATTCCTCCAAGGACATTATTAACAACACGGTTTTGGAGAAAACTATGATAATAAATAATATTCTAAATACTTGTGAATTAAGAAAACCCCAACCCAGTATCCTCACAGGTAGAAAGCCCAGCACATTAGGACTCCTGGGCTTTGAAGCCTGAGTCGGCACCAAAGTAGACTGCATTAGTCAGCCGAGGAGCTCAGGAGGTGCTGGTGAGCCACGCCATGATGGAGGCTGACAGCTCTGCGACTCTTCTCCTGAAGTGCTGCGATCCTCTGGTGAACACGGGGAAGGCTGAATTGTATTTTGATGTCCAGCCTCACCGTTTGGCTTGGGTGTCCCCCCCACACACACACATTAAAAACGTAAAGAAGCTACTGAGTTAATTAAAGATAAATTGGAATTTGTGAATTTTGATTTTTTAAAAATTGTTAGAAGTGGTGCTTGTATGAATTGATGTATTGTTATATATATCAACTAAAGGATAAGCATTCAGTGAGCATTTTAGTTTTCCTGTTTTCTGAAAGTATAGGGGAGATAACCTAGAAATATATATTATTTGAAATGTGTCTAAAAATAGGAAATGCTTAAACATCTTTTACTGCGACTGCCACCTCTGGCGTCGTGTTGGGTGGCTGCTGTGTTACTTTTAACAAGGTGCTTCCTGGCTGACCTCTCTGTGCAGCTTGAGCCTCCCACTTAGTAACCACAGCCGGTGTTCTGATGTATGCCGTGTGCTTCTGTACACTGAGAGCTTTGCACTCTGGTCGTGCCGTAGGTCATCTGATGAGAACACACCTGGCAGTGTTAAAAGTCCTGCTGTGTTTTCTTTAAAAGAAATTCTTATGTATTTGTGTCTTTTAAGTTTTACAGCAAATGAGCTTTTAGGCTTYCCTTTGATGTCACTAGTAGTCAGCGTCCGCCAGGTTAGAGTCAGGATGGTCATGCCGCAGGTCTGAGTTCAGCACCGAGTACAGTAGTCGGAGCTCAGTGCGAGGCTATGTAAGACTCCTGCAGAAAAGTGGCCAGGCAGGCGCGTGGCGTGCCTTTCCTCTGTGCTGTCAGACAGGCCTGGGCAGCCAGGAGATGCTCACAGCCATGCCAGCACGTTGCCCTTGGTGTTGTACAAGAACAGGGCAGCTCTTTCTTAAAGGTGATGTGGCTAGAACCCTGGTTTTCGTGCACAACCAGAAATACGTCAGGTGTGTAGGAAGGCAAATTTGGGAGTAATCCCAACAGTTACTTGTGCTTAAGTGTAAGTGGCCTGTAAATCGGCTCACTTCCTTGGTACCTGGTTTGTGGTCTCCATAAGTATCATTTCCTCTAAAAAGATCTTACTAGACCCTGGAGATGAGGCAGATTGCTGGTCTCCCATGGGGTGAGGGAAATGGGATGGGGGCATCCTGTCCGTTAYAGAGCAGAGTGCTTCTGATGGCCACAGGATAGTTGGAGGGTCCCTGAGGGTAACAACTATAGTAGGTTGAGGTATAGCAATATATCTAAACCCAGGAGCTCAGCATGACGCTAAGGACCCTAACTAACTAGGCACCAGGGTGCTTAGGAGACAGTTGAGAGCATCGGCCTTATTAGGACCTAGATTCAAGAAACTAGTTAAGCAAAATGCATAACATGAGACAGTGGGAGACTAGCTAGGTGATTGCAGTATCAAGGAATTACTGTTAATTTACTCGACTGTCAGGCATAGTGGTACACACTTGTAATCCCAACTGCTCGGGAGGCTGAGGCAGAAGGATCACAAGTTGAAGGCCAGTCTGGGCCATATAGCCAGACCCTATCTCAAAATAAAAAATTTTAAAAGGCCTGGGAGTTTAGCTCAGTGGCAGAGCACCCCTGAGTTCAGTCCCTTTATAATGCCACACYGCACACATTCCCACAGTGTCCTTAGCTTTTGAGGATATACTGAAATAACCCTGTCTTAGATTTGCCTCTGCATGAGTGGGTACAGATGCAATGAGACATAAGGGTATAGATGGCTGGCATTGACGCTGTTGGTGCCGAGTGGTRGGTGCCGAGGCTTACGTGCCATTTGGATGACTTCCATATTTGTTTCAAGTTTTCCTTAGTGAAATGTTAGAGAAGAATTTACTTGGGCTGGGGTTGTGGCTCAACTGGTAGCGCACTCGCCTGGAGTGCGTGCGACCCGGGTTCGATCCCCAGCACCACATACCAACAAAGATGTTGTGTCCTCCGCYGAGAACTAAAAAATAAATATTAAAAGTAAAATTCTCTTTAAAAAAAAAAGAATTTACTTAAATTTGGACTTGTGGAGATTTATAAAAGGAACTTAAAAGTTGAGAAATGTTGTGGGGCAGTGTTGCATGCCTGTAATCTCTGC